ACGAGAGAGCAATTGTTAGTGTAAATTGTAACAATCTCAAAAAGAATAGAAAACTACAGTGGATGTAGCTCTTCATTTATAAGAGTGAACCACTATAAATTTTGTGTGTTTTTCTACTTCAAGTATTTTTTCCTCATATTGCTCACTACTCAAAAAATACCACAAACACTTCACTGCATATATTAAGTATACAGTCAATATTAAGCCGATAATCCCACGGGATACCTAGTGGTGACCCGGCCTATTTCTGTTGACGAGTTTTTACCGTCAACAATATCTATGTAACATAATTACATTATCGTATATTTGAAAAGAAAAATTATGATTAATCTCACATATATACATATATGTATATATGACTTCTTCATAACATGTATATTAGGCGTCATATATACATATACACTAACTAATTAGAATGCCATTTATTTACAAAATAGAAGTATACTACTTAATAAAATGTAAATCAATTGGACTCACAATATTTAATTATTTAGTTGAGTTAAATAAGTTATTTTCGATTAATCATGATATGAAAAATAAAATAAAAAATAAAAAAAAGCAAATATTGAAAACTACGATTTAAAGACTTTTTGCTACCAAATCAACACTCTTTGGCAGCAAAATTGTCACTATTGGCTACTAAATTTGGTAAAGAGACGCGTCAACATTCAACTACCAAATGTTTAGTAGCCAAAAGTATTTTTTGCTAATAAAATAAAAATTTTTGGTATCAAAAGATAAATGTATCTATTAATTAGGTATAACATGTACGCAAAGACATACTGATTTGCTACTAAATTTTTTTCAGTAGCTAAAAAGCCTTCGCACCATGTTTTTGGCTACCAACTGAATCATGTAGCAAAAATTATGTTTTTAAGGCCAAATTTTTAGTAGCAAGAACATACCGATTTGCTACTAAGTTTTTTAGTGGCATAAAAGTCTTGGCGCCAAACCATTTTGGTTTGGCATCATGTTTTTAGCTACCAATTCATTTTGGTAGCAAAAAAATAATAGGTGTGTTTAGAATTAGTTTATGCACGTCTTCTGACACACGAAAATGAAAGCAGTGTGCAAACTATTTTGTTTAGCAACTGTTTGAAAACGAAAACGAAAACAAAAGACAGTAAAAATGTTTTTTCTGAAGGAATTAGAAAACGGTTGAAAGTTGTTTTTCCTTTTCTGTTTTCATTTTCTAGTACTTATCAACAATGTTATAATATATATTAATTAATAATTATAACCAAACACGATGTCACTTTGTTATCATACTCAAAACAATTTCTTAAAAAATAACTAAACACAATTTTAGAATTGATCTCAGAACGATTCTCAAAACAATCTCTTTTTTACTTTTGTACTAAAAATAAAATTATTTTGAAAACATTACCAAACGAGCCCAATGTTTTCGAGACAATAATTTTTATAGTAAAAATATATTTATTTGATACCAATTCTTTTTTGCTAGCTAAAATCTCTTGACGCCAATCCCATTTATGTTTGGCCCTATATCTCTTGCTACTAACTGATTGTGATAGCAAAACAAATATGTTTTTGTGTCAAAAATTTTGGTAGGAAAAGCATGGTGATTTGCTACTACATTTCTTTCCCATCAAAAAAATCTTAGCGCCATGTTTTTTGCTACCAATTAATTTTGGTTGCTAAAAGTGTGTTTTTGATACTAAAACTTAGGTAGTAAAAACATACCTATTTGCTTCTAAATTTTTTTGGTAGCCACAAACTCTTGGCGCCAAGCCATTTTTATTTGGCTCTATGTTTTCTGCTCTCAAATGATTTTTGGTAGTAAAAAATGTATTTTTGATACTAAAATTTTAATAACAAAAACATTAGCTAACAATTTTTTTGGGTAGCCAAAAAGTCATGGCACCAACCCATTTTCATTTGGCACCATATTGTTTACTACTAAAAAAAACTTTTAGTAGCAGAATCGTCACTCTTTGCTACCAAATTTAATAGTAGAAACTTGTTAACATTATTAAAATTTGGTCTCTAAAAGTTATCTTTTGCTAATGGAAAAATTTTAGTAGCAAAACTTTTGGTAGCAAAAAATCAAATTTCTTGTAGTGTATTTTTAGAAAACGGGTGTTACATGATATATTATATGAATATATAGGAATTGTCTTCAATCCGACACTAAATTGAAACAACACATGTATATTTCTTTTAAAAATATGTATATTTCTTATTAAAAATATGTATATTTCTTATTAAAAATATATATATTACTTCTTAAAACATGCATAATATAAAAAGACACTTATAATTTATATATACACTTATATGCATATTTTTAAAAAATATATTTATATTTTTAAAAATATATATATAATATGCCGTACCTATATATTTTTGGTGTATACATAATATATATATATATGTATATCATAATAATAATGTCAGATTGGGGGAGTATAATAATAGCTTGTGGATTGTGGTTTGTATGTAATGTATACTTATCGACGGTGTCCTTTATATCCTCATATACAGTCAGTTGCGTGGGCTGCTAAAGTTTTATTCTAAGGCGGTGGAAATGATTGTCATTCGAAAAAAGTATCATAAGTTGTCAGCACAATTATACCCCCCATGATTGAGACATTAATTGTATTCAATCGCTTCAAGCTATACCCCATGACATCACTCCTACTTGAACTAATATCCATCCCCATTCCATTAATTTTTTTTTTACCCAAAATAAGTGATCCATTAATTATTTACTCCCATGATTTTGAAATGTTGTCTATCTCATACAAATTCACATAATCTATTGGCTTAACTGAGCCCCGTCACGTTAGTTACTAGTAGGGCTGCTCGTTAAAGTTCATCACCGAGGGGACCTAAGCTACTACCATTGTCACTTTATCACGTGAGCTACTTTCTTAATTTTTCTAGGAAAAGACAACTTAAAAAGGATATTATCATAAGATTATAGTCATTTTCGATTTACGTGTATTTTTTATGAGAAAAAATACTGTAGCGAACCATGAATTATAATTTGAATCGGAGTACGAATTCCCCAACCAAACAACAGACTCTATTAATTTTACCGATTCGAGTTTAAAATTCAAATTTTATTACAGTAAAAAGCTCTTAAAAACAGTTACATTTAATTTTTTTATTACAATAAAATAATTTCACATAAAATTACATATCAACTCAAATTAAAAATTTAAGTCAGCGAATTAAATACCCTTAACCTTTTGTGGGCGTCATGACAGTGCATCGTCACTGATGGAATGAATATAGTAGACAACACACGTGAACACAGAACAAACACTTGGAACAAAAAAAAAGTATAGAAATAAATAAATAAATAAAACAAAGATAAAACATCAAAATCCCGTATTACCTCTTATCCCTTGGTCCAAAATGTTTATGCGAGCATATTTATTTTTATGGTAATTAATGAGAGAAGATAACTAACGCTATTGAGGAAGAAGATCCCAATTCGGCATACTTAATTAATTCCCACCTAATTCGGCACTAAATCCCCTGTATGTTATTACTTTAATAACTAAAAAAGAGAAAAAAAATTCAAAGACGTCTCATAAATTTCACTCTCTTAATAATTGACAAATGTCACAGTATTATAATCTTATAATATTGCATCTCATATAGTTCTAATATAGCAGTTTAATTTAAACCGGTCACGCTCGTCTAAATAGCATATGTCAATTTCAAGCCAGCCAGACCTGTATCCTTTAAAGAAACTTTAAACTGCACGTGAATTCAATTCTCCATTAAAGCAGGTTCATGTGTCCCTAAACAAGGAAAAGGAAATATACATTTGTACACACACGCACAATCCCGCACAAACCGAACATTTAAAAGCGAAGCTCAACATGAACTAGTAGATTAGACATACAATACCAAACACAGAAAACTCATAACGAAGTGAAAGAATTCACTCCCCGTTTGCGCTGATATGAAATTATATGGGTTTGAACTTTTTTATTTGGAAAAAAAAAATTTCAAACTGTGTTATTTAAATTGTAGTTTAAATTGACATTTAAATGTGCAGTTAAAATCTTAATCTGAATAGGATTAAAATTCAAATTTATGTTTAGTAAGTATAAAAAGCAGTGCGAGTGTAAAAATGGTTTGAATAGTTGAAATTTAAGGACGAATTAAACTCTAATTTGAATAATTTGGACAGTTTAACTCAGTTAGAACGAAAAATAAAATGCATATAGCGTGCTTATCAAATTCAAATTAAGTTGAACTAAATTGAGTTAAACTACACTAACCCAGTAAAACAAATGAGGTTTAAGTTATTCAGACTTAATCAAACGACAAGTTCTCTTCCTATTACTATGGCATGTACGTATATGGACCATAACGAACTTCTATTAACTATATACAAATAATTTTGATTTGTTTGAGTCTTAATCATTTTACCACAAAAGGATGGAACTCCTCCTAGTGTAGACAAAGCATGGTTAGGCACGAGGCGGCAGCACCTTATAATTGTGGTAGGTCTAATCACACAGTGTCTCCTCTACAGTTCCAATTAAAAATTTATGGAGACACGTTTTTATTCATTCAATTCTAAACGATGAAAATTCTATTGTCTTTTATTCTCAAAAGTCGTCCGAAAAGAAATGCTAACAAACCACTAAGCTTTTACACACCTACAAGAACGTGACAGGACTAATATGATCAGTTCCAACAAGAGTTAAATGATGATATCATAACTGAGCTACATGATATGTGGTAAGCTAAGAACTCGGGTTTCCAGGTAAAAAAATTTAATTAATATATCTTCTATTTTTTATGGAAATGGTATAGTTTTTTGAAGAGCAAGCGACTTTAAAGGCAATGTTAATTACATGTAAATTTTCCCTTATTTAACAAGATTTCTACATTTAACCATGTGTGTCTGAGCCAGCAATCAACATGAACCGTAACCGAGTTTCATACCGCATGTTTGGAGTTTTAACCTCGGAAGACCCGAACCAAGTTCAACGGCAATTGGATATGTTGGTCAAGACAATATAAGATATATCAAAGCAGGAAAAACGAGACTAGAAATGAGTTTCCGCAAAATTAATTACCATGGAGTACTTAAAAGACAATACAAACTACGATCTAGATCTACCTATAAATATACAACCTTCATCATAGAAACTCACAGTGCCTTTGAGTTCCTATATTTTACCGAGTCCTGTTCTTTGATCATCCCTTTGTTTAAAGTCAACAACGCTTCCTTAGCCGCGAACCATGCATTCCCTTATCTGTAAGGCAGAACAAATCAAACACCGCAGAGTCCTGGTATACAGTGTTTTAAACAAGTAATTTGAAACTTATTTTAAAATAATTTTATTTTTTTGTATGAAAATAGAAATGAAAACGTTTTCAATATCAGACACAGAAATCATTTTTAAAAATGAGTTTGGTAGTTTTATTAAAAAATTATTTTTAGTATAAAAAAATTCATTATTGTCTCTCTTTTTACTCGAGAGAAGAGAGAATAGAAATAAAAAACTCCCATTTTACACTAAATTAAAAAATCGTTTTCATTTCCGTTTTTTGTCTTTAATTGTGTCAAACATCGTTTCTATCTCGTTTTTCTTTTTTCTTTCTCGAAAAATATGAAAAACAAAAACAAAAACAACTCCAAACACAGCCATTGTTACCATGTAATTGCCTTTTTTTGAAAAGAAAAAAAGAAAAAAAATCATCAAAGTTGGCAATAATTTTTTCACGGTAATTGGTACGGAAATTAGATAGCTTCCGAACGGAAATTAGATAGCTTCCGAACGACATGTCTCTTTAGTTAAACAGTACACATATCCACCACAATTGTACCATGTGAATCATGGTTACAATAGAGTTACATTCCAATTTCTCTTTTGCTGATAAACTATGAGAATTCTTTGGTAGGCAATTTTTTGATGTGATTTTCTAGATCTAATGTGCAGAAAGATGCAGACCATATCATATAATAAAGCACCAATATACTACAGATGAAAAAAGATGCTACAACTAAAACAGGATCTCAGAAAGTACATGCATCTTCGAAATTTGAAGTGCTAAAGAAAGTGACCTGACGACGATCGACAATTTTGGTAAATGGCGTGCTTCACCGTCTCCTTGTGGGCTAAAGATTGTCGGGCTGGAATTATGCTTTGTTTATTTGCCAACCGAGTGGTTTCTTTCAATGATATGGACCTCCTTGCAACTTCCACAGTGACATGTTTGGTGTACCGTTGAGGTCCTGATCAGACGAACAGAAGTTAAGAAAAAGAGCTTACTAGTAATGACCTATGCATGATGCTTCAAAATGGGGCCACAAGAATCGAATGCATCCAGAAAATTCATGAACTAATTTCGTTAGCATAACGCTACAAAATATTAGCAATTCTAGTAATAAATAAATAAAGATTTTGCTCATTGGGAAATAAATTGACAATAAGAAATTAAAGGCAACATTGTAAAGATCAAGTGTTATTACATTTTGATTGTAGTTTGTACTAGTACAGGACATTTCATAGAGTTATTTGCTAGTATATTTCAGTTTGTTTTCGGTTGTGTTTATCAAGTGTCTTAGAGATGATACAATTATTCATTATTCAGTTGCATTATGATGACTTGAGTGTAGATCTTGAGTTGAATTTGAGTAATAACTTGAGTTGAAGTTGTAACTTGAGTTTGTATTTGATTGTGTATATTTGAGTTATGGTTTAAGATGAAAATCTTTTTAAGTTTGTGTTTGAGTGGATCAAAACTTGAATTTGTATTTAGATAGTATTTTAATAAAGACTCAATGATGATGGAAAATTTTAATAAGATATATGGGTGAGATTTTATTCGTCTCTTCGCTGTAAACGCATAAAAAAAAAAGAATCATCTCAATCGGAATTAAAACGAAAAAATTATAGTATTTTTAAGAATAAAAAAATATTGTTCATTAACTTGAGTTTGAGTTTAGGATTGAAAGGGAAACTTAAACTCAGATTTTAACCTCAAACTCAAGTTAAAATTCAAGTTCAAACTCAAATTTTACAAAACAACATGAACTTGATTAAAATTGTAACTTAAGTCCAAACTTTTTTTTGAGTTTGGGCGCAAATGAACAAACCAAATCGCTCAAAAAAGGAACAATTTCTTAGAACTTAGAAGCATTCTATTTTTCTCTAGTTTTATTTACGAATAGACTAATGAACTTATCTTACCTCCTACATCATTGTTAAACATCAAGAAAATGCCTTTACGAAGAAAGGAAAAAAAAAAGAAAAAAGAAAAAAAAAAGAAGAAATATTCTAGCTTCCCTCTTGGCTGCCTTCGGTTACAAATACCTAATTTGAGCTAGGACAAAACGTTTCCCCAAGTTGAAACTCGGGCATCAGAATCCAACCATATATGGGCCCTCTATTAAACCAAAAGGACCAAGTCAGTTGTATGACAACTTAAAGGCACTCAATATGGGCCTATTTTTTGATGCAACACGCTTTTTTTTTCTTTTTTTTTCTTTTTTTTTGGGAACTGGTTTTAGCTAGAATACTCACTAGAACGTTTGAATGACATCCTGTATATTAGGTGACATCAAAGCTTGAAGAAATTTGCTGATTCTCATTCTTCCAAGCTCTAATCACAAACTTACTTAAAAAATCAAAATCCAAAACTATAGATAAAAGAGGAATGAGAATTTGGTCTTCGTCAAGCCAAATCCCATATACATGTTTATGGCCAAATTTGGTATTGTTTTCCATCGATACATGTTTATAGCCCAATTTGGCAAGATTTTGTAAGTGGAATCTGTAAAAGCGCTTTGAACTTGGGTTTTGTTTACTAATAAGAAATTCAATTTCAAGAAAGGGAATTAAATTCCTAATTTTAAATTCGTGTGTTTACTTTTGCATTTGGAAATTAGATAGTGTGGATCCCACCTACAAATGCGGAATTAAGTTTCTTGACAAGAGGGAACTTATATCGCACCTCCTACCTACGGAATTTAATTACTTCCCCTAAAAAATGGGGACTAACTAAATTTTTATTTACTAATGTACAGGAACTAACTAAACTTACTTACTAATGTACCCTTACTTTAATTTAATTAGTTACTTCATATAATGATAGTTTTGTAACTGCACTTATTCTATTCATATTCCCTCTAACTTTTTAGCAAAGTAAACAACATAAAAAAAAAATTTAATTCCTCATGTAATTTAATTCCCTAATAAATTAATAAACACAATAATGGAATTCTAAAACTAAATTCCGTGGAACTTAATTAACTTTTTTTTTTGAATTTATTTCCCATTATTTCAATCGCTGACTAGTAAACGCGTGCAAGTTGTGTTTTTGCGAAAGAGTGCATAAACACATTTTGCATAAATAATAATACAAAATGCATTCTTACAGTAATGAAGGGAAATTCTTACTTTTTCCTTTTGTGTCTCCTTATACTTGAATTAGTCCTTTTCAAACAAAAACTAATCCAAACTGTGCCCATGTATGATGTAAAAATAAGTAAAAAGAGAGAAGGGTTTTTTTTTTTTTTTTTTTTTGGGGGGGGGGGGGAACAGAGCGAAGTTATGATATTGCTGAAGGGTCTGAATAAAATTCTCGAATCAACACGTCCCAATTTTTTAGGATGTCTCATGCAGCCAATTTTTAGTTTCCCCAGCTTTCATTTGGCAACTTTTTTTTTCCAACGGCTAAGATCAATTATACTGGCTCATCTAGTGGCTGAGATTTGCGTAGCATGATATATGCCAAATACCAATTCTTCTAAGGGTGCCCTACAAGTTCTCCTAAAGCTTCCTAAACTCATTGGATGGGGCCGATATTAATAATCTTTTTTGTAGTTCAAGGGGGAAAAAAAAGAACAAAAACCATTAAATTGTCCGACTTATTGACCAATACCCAAAAAAAGAAATGAAATGGAATTATTTTTCACTGCACCATGAAACAATAAATTAAAATTTTAAATTAAGAAATGAACTTAAATGCAAGTTAGAAGCACTATCGGTACCTTTTGTTGGGACCCACAATGGTTTAGGAGGAACAACCAAAGGAGCATACATGTAAGAATCAGAGATTAGATATTCCCCAACCTTCTTCACCAACTTTTTCTTGTTCTCTTTAGCATTTTCCTTCATTTCAACTACAGTTAACACAAACAATCAAATGCTTAAAACCCAATTTGCAAATGTAAATGAATATCAAATAAAAGCCAAAAAAAAGCCAAAAAAAAAAAAGAAAGAAAAAACAGAGTTGAAAGAAAAGAGTAAATACGTACTCTTGTGTGAACGAAAATCAGAATTTGAAGAAGTCAGAGGAGCAAACAAGCAACAGTCAAATTTAAGATAGTCCAAGACTTTGTCAAGCAAATTATACTTCTTCTTGTTACGCTTATTTTTCAGTCTTTTCTTTTGCACTCCGAGAAATGCTTTCTTCTCTATAATCGCCATTTTCTAGAGTTCTCTGTTTTTGGTTTTCTCTTTGCTTGATGGGCTTTTTGGAAGAGAGTTTTAGCGGTTGGACATGTTGTGGGCACGTGTCGTACGGCGGCAACTTTGGCGGTCATGGCGTGGACTTTTGATTTCGTGTCCAGCAGAGAAGTGTGACACCTGGTAAGACTTTCAGCTACTGCTGGCCGTTTAACTCTTTCTCTTTTCTCATTTCTTTCCTTTATTATTATTATTATTATTATTATTTCCTTTACCAGTTGAAAGTGGGCGTACAACATCTACAAATCAGATATATCAATGGATCTATTAAGTATATTTATAGTTCTATACTAGCTACTACTGAAATTTTAGCCGCCGTTTGAAAAATTGAGTTTTTACCCGAGCTTGAATTTCATTTTAAATGGGCCGCGAGCTTGTATTAGGCCGTCCGAATCCGTCTGAATAGCCTGAATTTTTTTTAAATTTTTTTTAATATTAAGTTATTTTATGTTAAAATTTATATATATTACAATTTTAAATTTGAAATGAACACAAGAATTATATAAAAAAATTATTTCTTTATTAATTTTTAAATTTGTAATTCATGATTACCTCGTTAAAAACCTTACCAAGAAAAATTCAATTGGGATAAAAACTTAGTAAGGAAAAAAAGTGCAATCATTTTGTGACAAATTACAAATTTTACAAACCTACAAAGTTATACAATTACAAATACAATATCAAAGGTAAATATATATTTACAAATTACAAATTTACAATTTAATTTGAAGCTGAATGATCGTCTTCAAAATTAAATGTTAATCGACTAAATTCATCGATTCATTCTTGGCTTGCCGGTGAAATTGTATCTTGTAGACGTTGATCGGTCCGATCCCAATCCTTAATGCAATCCAAGGCTTCAACAATATCCTTTTGCAATGCATTCCGGCGTTCCTCAAGTATTCTTCATGTCGTTCTGAAGGCTTGTTCGGATGAAATAGTGCAGACTGGGATCGAAAATACATCCATTGCCAATCGAGTTAGGATTGACCAAGTTAATGCCCGTGCCCTCCACCATTAAACTAAGTCAAACGATTCTGACGTACTGCCGACTACTAAGCCTTCACTGAGGTACGTCATAAGCTCGTTGAAGCTGCCGCCGCCGCTGCCACTGCCACTGCCACTTGTTGATGAAGATTCACTCACAGCTTCTGTTTGAGTTGTCTTCTCCTTCCTCTTCAACCCGAAAACATTCAAGAATGAATGCGGGTTTTCGTCTTGTTGTTGTGGTTCCTATACTTTATGAGGTACTCTAAACCTAATCTCATATTTACTATAGATCGAATATATTTTTTCTTTTAGTATTGGATATTGGTCCGAACAATTGATGCCTAAAAATTCACCTAAGTTTTCTAAAACACTTTCTAAACCTTCTAATTTTAATCTAGGATCAAAGATAGTACCTAAACCATACAACAAAGGCAACTTAGACTAATATTTTTTAAATTTATTTTTCATAGAATGAATAAGAATTCCTAAGATTGGGTCATCCAATACTAATTTTAAAAGTTCACCTAAAGCTAAAGGTGATGTTGGGTAATATATTCCACTAAGTTTTAAAATAACTTCATGAAACCTACCTAAAAATTGATACAAAACTTCGGTAATTTACCAATCAAATTCGTCTATATGTCCTACTCTTAATTTTGCACACATATAGTTTGTTATGGCATCCTTATAGGAGATGCATTGTTGAAGCATAATGTAAGTTGAGTTCCATCTTATAGGCATATCTAACGCTAATGCTCTAGGAGGTATATTTAATGCTTGTAAGAACCTAAACCAATCTTCTTGTCTTTCGTTACTACCTTGAATCCATGCAAGACTATCTCTAATTTTTTTAATGTAATTACCTATTTCTTTTAAACCGGATTTAACTATTAAATTGATTACGTGACATGCACAACGTTGGTAAAAAATTGTACCGCCACCGAATAAACTTAAATCATTTTTAAAGAACTCAATTGCTTTTGTATTGGCACTAGCATTATCTAATGTTATAGTCATTACTTTACCTCTTAGTCTAAATTCATCAATTACATTTAAAATTGTATTATATATTAAATCCGCGTTATGTGATCCTAGAACACATTTAAAACATAATATTCTTTTATCTAAATTAAATTCCTTAAAGTAATGTCCGGTTACAGCTAAATAATCTTTGTTGGCAACGGCATACCAAATATCTGCCGTTAACGAAATGCACCCGCTAGTCGAGTGTAAAAGGTTTATTAATGCTTCTTTTTCTTTTTTAAATAATTTTAATAAATCTTTCCTAAGAGTAGTTTTTGAAGTGAATTGTGCATTAGAATTATGTACAACCTTAATATATCGTTGCCAATTAGGATGTTCTACAAAACTAAGTGGTTGATCTAAAGCAGCTATCATTCGTGCAACTTCTATACGATCTACTTGCGGATCGTATTTCCAAGTGGTTAGACGACCGATTGCGCGATCAAAAGATAATTGTGTTTGGCGAAGTTCGGATCCGCCGGATTGGCTAAGCTTTTGAAGACACTTTTCGGAGTGTCTTCTCAAGTGTGTGGTGCCGTGAATAGTGTCACCTTGTAATTTAGATAAACAATATTTACACTGAGCTATATGTTTAGTGTTACATTTATTGTCGATCTCATCAATTATGTCGAAGTGATCCTAAACTGTCGAGGTGCGCTTGCATTTCCTCCTAGAGGTTGCAACACTTGCAGATGCAGTCGCACTAGCACTCGCCGCTTCTCCACGCCCACCACCATTGCGACCACGACCTCCAGTACATCCACCGGGGCTCGAATTAGTAGATTCCTGCGTAACAAATGCTGGTTCCCGAATCGAATTCGGGTGCGGAAGCGTGGCGGGGAGGCGGATCGTGTATAACAAAAATTTCATAAAACTTTTGAGATACTCTATAGATTATATTAATTTATGCACGAATAAATTAATCGCATTAATTTACATCAAAAAATCAATCCGAAAATATACCTGGAAGCCGACTCGGATGATAACTTGAATTCTTTGACCACGAACAGTCCTTACTCCAAGTTTGTGTTTAAAATACCAAAGTCTTCCACGTCAATTTCTTGATTCCACATAGACGTGTGTGTGGGCACACGTGAGACGAAACAAGTTTCTTAAACACTCGAATTTTCACAAACACCAACGCATGCACGATGTGGAATTTTGGAGAAAAAATAATTTAGATAAACAATATTTACACTGAGCTATATGTTTAGTGTTACATTTATTGTCGATCTCATCAATTATGTCGAAGTGATCCTAAACTGTCGAGGTGCGCTTGCATTTCCTCCTAGAGGTTGCAACACTTGCAGATGCAGTCACACTAGCACTCGCCGCTTCTCCACGCCCACCACCATTGCGACCACGACCTCCAGTACATCCACCGGGGCTCGAATTAGTAGATTCCTGCGTAACAAATGCTGGTTCCCGAATCGAATTCGGGTGCGGAAGCGTGGCGGGGAGGCGGATCGTGTATAACAAAAATTTCATAAAACTTTTGAGATACACTATAGATTATATTAATTTATGCACGAATAAATTAATCGCATTAATTTACATCAAAAAATCAATCCGAAAAT